CCAAGGTTGAGAAACACTGTTCTAGAGGAAGGGAAGGATGAGGCCCTTATCACCTGCAATGCCGAACTGGCAACGAAAGGGTAAAAATGAAATGACTTCTCTAGTAGAATCTCTTGGCTTTAAATTTATGGTTTCAGCCATTCTCCCCTTTTGTGAGTTAGAGCAATGTTACCAGAGATAAAATAAAAAAAGTTTTTTTTAAAAAGTAAACTGTATAAATATTTTTAACCTTAAAATGCAAAGCTTTTGATACTGGAGGAGGTAAATGCAACTTAGTTTTTAAAAAAATCCACTAAAAATCTAATGCTCCAAGTAGAGCACAAGGTGGCGCTCATCTTTTGTAGGCAGGATTTCTCCATCCTAAGTATTATAGTTATTATAAGATGTTAAAGAGGAGAATACAAAAACATGCCTAATGTACAATTCCAGGCTCTCATAAAACACACTTGTACGGAGATACAAAAAATATTAGACAGATGCAGCAAAAGAAATAGAAGTTAAAACAGCTTCTGTGGGGTGATTTCAACTATTTATCAGAGCTTTGGGAGAGATATTTGACACTTCTTTTCCCAGCTCAGACACAACAGCTTGCTCTGTTCTGTTCCCCGAGAGTTTTGCCTTCAGTTTTAAAAGAACAAAGTACTTTCTCTACAAAAGAGAGAGGCTGGAGGGTCTCCTGAGTTAAAGCTCATGGTTGAGAGGTGTGTATTCAGACTCAGATGCTGTTTGGCATTTAGAAGCACAGGGAGGCTACGATTTTGCAGGTTATTCACAGCACAGGCACTGCAAGTCCTGCTCAGGCTATCACCCACTGTAAATGGACCATGACATCCTGTTATGGTACCCACGCCCATCTGCGTCATGGGACCCGTAACAGCGAATTCTACAGAAGTTTGTTTAAAATCACAATCTCCTCTGCCAATGTTTTCTGTGAGCAATGTCATATGCGCTACTAATAATTTTCTGTGACTCGGTATTGGGGGTAATGAATGGTAAAATTAAGCACGCATTGGAGAGATTACCAATTACATGAAGAATCTGGTTGCAGTTAACTCCAACTAAAGGTGATGCAACTAATTACTGAATCTAAAGAGATAATTACTCTGTCACGTGGGTATATCACACATTGGATGACTTTGTTTATGCAAAATATGAAACAAGAACCAATCTTTGCTCACTTGGATTCCCTTTTTATATTGGTAGGATCAACATGAAGCTGATAGCATTTAGTGGCAAAGCCATGCAAAAATCTGGAACATTCAGATAAGAGGGGTAAATATGTTTTCACAGAACTGTAGCAAGAAAGCTTGTATTTTTAGTAGTCTTGGGAGTTGTAGCCCCAGTAAATCTGGAGAACATTAGATTGGTATCTGTATTTTCTACGGAGTACTTTTCAGCTGTTTAATTAGGTGAGAAACTGATCACAAAATCTGATAGTTTTATCTTAAAACTGCTTACAGGATTGGAGACAGTTTGTTAGGTAAAGAAGTATGTTAATTTCCTTATTAGGTACATAACACAAAATCAATGCATTTCTTATTAGGGACTATATTAACATTAAAGAATGAATAGTTAATGTAAATCACCTGCTTTTCTGCTGTACTGCATCAGTAGTAATAAAAAAAATGGTTAGATCCAATGAACAAAATGGTTGCCTACACATGTAACCAGAAAATACACTAGAACATTTATGCAAGTTAGTAGGTTCTCTGTATCATGATAGGGGAGACTTACTAAGGGTGTTTCAGGTTCAGGGATGGTACAAACCTAGGCAAAACAAAGATGGTGGCTCATTAGGGAGAAAACAAAGCTTTCTATGGGTGGGGGCTGAATTCTGATTTCTCCCTTTCCCAATAACAGTGATTGTATACTCTTAGACATCAAGAATCAGAAGTAGAAAAGTGAGTTTATCTGTTGGTGACAGTTTGTGAACCTGGTGGATTTATAAATGTTCACAGATCTTCATCCACAACTCAATCACAGTAGGGATGGATTTCCAACAAACGGACAAGATTCTGCCAAGTAAAACTTTGAACTTTTACTATACCTTTTCAGCTATACTTTAATCATTACTTTTATCTCACTCCATGGCTCTTATTTTTTCTGTTATCTTTCATACATTTGTTCTTTATACTATAAAATATGATTTCGTATTTTTTATTTCTATACTTTGTTTCTCTGCTATAGTCTTATTACTATTTTAATTTCCCTGCAGTGATACCATAGCTTAATTTATCAGACCTAGTTTACTTTTACCTACTTTGATTCAAGCTAATCTATGGTCTATTAACTCTTTTCTTTATTCTCTTAGATTTGTAATCCTCTCTACGAGGTAATTCTTAATTTTCTATTTTATCTTCTATTTATATTCTTGACCTGTATATCCCAGTTGGTTCAATTCATTTCTGCTTTTATTTCATACATATTTTATTTCAAATATTCTTATTTCCCTTACAATGGCATTCTACCCCGTTCCTTCTCTTGAGCCCCCACTGATGTCTTCTTCCCATGCTGCTTCTTCCAACACCTGGCCTCTTGAATTCTGCTTGCATCCCTCCAGCACCTAGTTCTCTGACCTATTCTGGCTCGCTAGCATTTCGTGGCTTCTAAGCCTGCCTTTGTCTTGATGATGCCCTGGATACCCAATCATCCATCCTTGGCCCTTCTCTGCCAGTGCTTTTGGGCTGTCTCCAAATGGCCAGCACTCCTGGGATCTCCATGATGGCTTGGTTGGCATCCTTCTAGGCATTCCACAGCCAAAATTCTTCACTAGAGGCTCTGCCCCTCTTCACTACCAAATTGTTATGTTGTTGAATCCGCCACCCTGGACCTCACCACTCCTTCACAGGCTCTTGCCCCCAGTCTTATGTACTTCTTCCTCTTTCTTCCTACTTCAGACTTTCCATTGTCTTCTCCAATGCAGCAGCCGAACATTTCTCCTCCCACTTACATCCAGAGAGGTCCCTTGAAAGTAGTTACACCCTTTTTAAAGGAATTGACTGCTCTGTACTGCCACCCATGCATCTCTCTGGTTTCAGCTGGACTCTTTTGAAAGGGCTGGCTTCCTGAATGAAATATGGACATGAGAAAGAATGGTGTGGGTATTTCTACTACTGTGGCTGTTCTCTCAAAACTTCTTATTGACATAACACATACAAATAGAAAACACACTAGAACGGCTGTATGAGTTACTAGGGAATCTGTATCATTCCAGGTAAATCTTAGTTATCAGACAAATCTCCTTACGTGTGCCCAAGTCTAATTGTTTACTAGTCTTTCATTGCAATTATGATAGAAAAAAAGATAATTCATTTGTTTTCCTGGTACAGTGCAATCCCAAGCATAGTTATTCAGAAGTAAGTTCCACTTAGGACTTAGAGAAATATTTACTTTGGACAGCATTATAAGCAAAGATAAGACTTTAGCTTTGCTCATTGGGTAGAGAACGTTTTCAAGCTCTCACCTTTGTTCCCTTATGTAACATCATAATTGGTTAGTCCTTGGAGTTTAAAATGTGCTTTCAGTCAAATATTTTTCAGTGATTTTTCTGTATAGCTGTACAAAGGAACAATACAGAGTTTGCCATATTATATAGAAACAAGAATGTTTTTCATCTTTCTTTCCACCCACCCACCGGTCTGAGTTATTATGAAAACTAAAATAAGCTGAATTGAGCTAGACCAGCGAGATGGCAACAAAAATCAGGATTGTTACAAAGAGCCTTATCTTTAATGTCTGCAGACTACTCATATAAGACTAAGAAACAAACTGTGATATATCCCCCACAACCAACATTTAGAATTTCTTATAATGTTCTTCCCACTCTCCTAAAATAGCTTCTCCACAGAATGTTATGATACTGTATTTTTGATCAGGGTGACAGTTACCAATAATATATTACTTAGTCACTATGAATCTTTTTTTTTTCTTTTTGCAATTTTAAAAAGATAAAGGGAAACATTGACTTACAGGCTATGACTTTATTTATTCCAGTATAAACAGTTTATAGAAAGTATAAATATATTGCTGACAATTCCATGACTGGACCGATCACTGCCTATATAACATTACAAGACAATGGCAAAAGAATACAATGCAAGAAACATTCTCTGGGACTGTATAAAGCATTTTTTCCCCAGTCCCACGCAGAAATTGAGTGCTCTGTGAGACCATAAGCCAACCAAATATATCAGACGTTTTCAGAAGAACCCCAAGGATACATCTGTACACTGAAAAGAGAGACATACAGACAGAGGCACATTGCTGAGAGGCAGGTGGGACATCACAGTCTCTTGAATCTGACATATTAGCTTCCCCAATCTGGCTCCTTCTGGACAATTTGGACTCCCAGAATTCCCATGTTACCTGGAAATTCTGGAACTTATTTGGAGAGCATCATGTTGGGAAATGTTCTTTGCAAATGGAAAGACATATTATGAATGGCTTAGTAGCTGTTTTAATAAACAGCTGTTAGGTACCAATATAAATTATGAAGGATATCAATCAGAAGGTTAAGTTGAAGTAACTTCAAGCAATGTCTGGAAAAGGGTAGCTGTCACCATGCCTACAAGAAAGCAGTGCTGTGCCGGTCCAAGAAACAGCATTATGTTGGCAGGATCATTTTGTTTCCCATGAGGAATGAATAAAAAGAAGAAATGGGGTGTGAGTGTCAGAGCTGGCCCTGAAGGAAGCTATCAAAAGAAGCAGGAAATAAAAATTAAAATAGAATTGAGATTGTGGAAGACCAAGCTAACAAGTCGTTGGAAGGAACAAAGTTGGCTTATTGTAGTAACTGGCTTTGAAAAAGAAGATGATAGAGAACTCCTGGAAGATGTTCACAACTCAGATGTGTGAAATGTCATGACAAGATTTAGGTACACATTTTCCATCAATTCTGCAGGAGATCTTATGTCTACATGATGGATTTCATCTCCATATTATGTAACAGAACTGCTCCAGGGGTCAGCCTTTTCACGCCTACCGGATGAATTTCCTTAAGTCACCAATTCATCAGCAGATCACACAAACCCTGGTTTAACTGATGAGCGGCGGCAGTTGGGGCAACCTCGTGTTCCGTTAGTCTGCAGGCACCTGCAGTGGAAAAGAAGTAGGGGATATCTTAGGAAGGAGTCTGAGTAATGCTCAGAGTTATATTGCAAATCCTGATGGAGGAAGTTGTAACTTTTTCTGCTGTGATCTCCTGCATTGTTCATGGAAGTGAGTGTTTTAAATAAGCGCTCATAATATATTCCTTAACATTAATATTTTAAGGGTAGCTTGCCTTTCTGTTCCTAAAAAGAAATACAGCATAGAAAAGTATAATTAAAACACATGATTAAAATAAACATGAAGTGATAACTGAAAGTTATAATTTAATTGGAATTCACTAGCTTGAAATTATTTGAAGAATAAACCCCTTCATTGATAACTATTTCATTTTTACAATTGTCTGATTACTTCAAGAAGGGAACCAATAATATGAACATCATTTTAACTGCTGCTTTTTTGTGCTTTAAGGATAATATATAAATATTGCTGTGACAATTGGTCTCTTAAAGATTTTTAAGTACTTACATTTTAAAAAATTAATAGTTATATGAGCAACAAGGAACTTTCCCTTCCTCTCTTCCTCAATCCACTAAACGATGTATTCCCAAACTACTTGGGGGTAACCCAGTTCTCTAGTACAAATCTAGGCATGTTTGCTCAGCAATATGTCCTGTTGAAATGCAGAATAAAATTTGATGAATTTTAGTGTCTTTGATTGCAGTAGGACTAGAATGATAAATAATTTGTTCTAATTTCAAAGAGACCTAGTAACAAAGCAATCTGGATCCAATGCATTTTCTTCTTGCATTGAATTTCCTCACCACATAAAAATTAGCAGATTAACCCCAGAGCTGTATACCAGCTAAACTAGGATGGGAACGTAATATGGCCTGAAGGAGCTCAATTGCACTCCAAGACATCTGAATGAGTGGGTCTTAAGGGAGAACAGCCTCCTCCCTTTTCTCAAAGCCCCCATTCCTGATTAATGTATTATTTATTATTATTTAATTTTATTTTACAATATTTGTACACCATCCATTTTGTGAGATTCTAGGCAGCTCACAATAGTAAGCCTGATCAAAAATCCCTCTTCAGGGCAGCCATTTTTCTCTGGAGAGAGAGAAAGAGAAAAAGAAAAAGAACCACTACTTTTTTTCTTGTACTTGTAAGGGTTTCCTCAGAGCCCGGGAAAAAGGGTGGCAGTTTGCAAAATATTACAAGCACAAAACATCTGCACATTTTTTCTGTAGCTAGTGTTGAAATATGGCATTGGTGACCTGTTCGGTAGTCAGTGATGTTCCCAGTGGTTTGGTTACCATGGTCCAGGTCAGTAACGTGAAATTAACCTCTATCCCTAAGGGGAGTAGATATGTTGCCAAAATTAATGTCAGACTCTCTGCAGCCATTTACAACCAAAATCAAGATTCTCGTAGTATCTTTTTAAACTAGATTTATTGAAGAAACTGGTTTAGGTGACAGAAAACCTGGTAGATGGATACATTAGTACCCAATTTATCTCTAAGTTCCTTAGGGTGATGTCTTGATCCTCCTGCTGACCACCTGTTAATGTATGGTAAGGTGGCTACCCATTTTCCTGAGAATTAAAATATTGATACAGTACTGATAGGCAAAGAGTGGTTGTTCATAACTTTCTCTTCATATAGGGCAGGGCCTCTGTGGGGCCACATACGACAATGGGCTGAAGATTCCCTATTTCTGAACTAGATCTTCTCAATGGAATTAATCTTCACTCATTTTTCTCAACAGGCAATGATTAACATGTTAAGCAATGAACATTCTTCATAGAGCATTTTGCCACAAATCTGACCTTCATTTTAAAGGCAGTAGTTACTTGTTTCATTTTACTGTTTTCCAGAACTGTTGCAGACCATGTTTTCTTTACAGAAGAAGGCTGAGCAACTTTGCAACAATATGTTTATTGCAAAATATATGTTTTATAAATGCTTATTCACTATTTGTCATGGCCAAATCAACATGTTCACAGAAGTATTTTTGTTTCTGAATATTTGCAGTGCTATTTAGTACACTCTAAAGTTAGCCTCACTGTCACACACTGGTTGGCAAAAGCACTAATCCATGAGTTCATTTGCTATTTTCCTTGCAATGTAGGCCTTGACAGCTCTTTGTTTACAAAAGGCTGTCCAAGCTATTCCTTTACTCAGATGGAGTGTTGCAATTGAAAAGAAAAGCAGGATAAATAAATCAACATTTTTCTAGTTCTCCTGCGTAATTATAAACATGGTGCTTCTTCATTTATCTGATCTGCCAACATGCCTCATCCCCATCACTTCTCATAATGTAGCAGAGTTAAATCTCAACAGATTATTTCTCACTGTTAATTTTAGGCATTTTGTTTGAAGCAATTATTTCAATCCAAACAGAGGTTGATGTGGAATCTATTTACATTCTGCTTTTATGATTCTATATATTTATTTCAGTTGATAGGTAACACAGGTTATCAGTTCCTAATAATAATATTTATTATGCACAGTACAAATTAAAACCATTAAAGATTAACAACTAAAACACATCCACCATACATAGTTCAAACAATACCATGCAATAAGGCTAAGTATGTATACACCTATAATTAAATTAAAACAAGTATTAACCTACAGTAGGAACTGCTAAAACTAAGGAGATAGGGTAGGATAACCAGGCTCTACACTAACTCACAATTCAAATAAAAAAGGGTTTTATTTAAAAGCCATCAAATTTTCACAAAGGGGAGCTGATCTGAGAGTTTGCAAGGCTAGGCCCCTGAAAATTGGAACCTGGAGACCACAACTCTGGAGGGAGGCCTTGTTCAGAGAATCACATGGAGCAAGCAGGAATGTTGGGAGAAATAAGGAGAGACTGATACTGGCAGGCTTGTCACCCAAGAACTCTAAACACAAAGACCAGTAGTTAAACTGGGCTCTGGCTTGAATGGGGAGCCAACAAAGAGCCCTGAGCATTAATGAGACATGGGAATAGTCTGGAAGGACCAGAACAACCTGAATGGCACTGTTCCGGACTAAGATGAAGGGACAGAAAGAGGACATGGGGATATCTACCATGTGATTATAATTGCAATGTAGGTGTGAAGCTAGCAAAGCATGTACCACTAAAGCTGCAGTTGCCGCCCTCCCCCCCGCCCCAGTCCTACAAACAGTAATCGGATGAGAATTAGGAACCCACTCTGTAAATTCAGTTAAAAGGCACAAAGTCAGCTCATCATCAGTCAAGACCTTCCCTTACTCTACTAGCATGTGCTGTAATACGCTCTAGGTGCTGCTATGTAATAAACTTCAATATTCTTCTTTGTCTGCCTAATCACCAGTTTCATTAATATAACTTTAAAATAACTTTTTTCTATCAATTTATATACTCATTAATAACATGGGATTGAATTACAAACAGTCTGAAAACTCTTATTTCTATCCAACTTAATTGCTCTTTCCACTGGGATTTTAAAATCTGTTTCTTAATAAAAACCTAGCTCTGACTGACTTGTTACATCGTGGTTTTCTGGATGCTTCCAGGCAAGACATTGATCCAGTTCTCCTGCTTTGTTCATGAGGGTATGGGGTGGGGATGGGCAAGTGAAATATTTGTGTCCAGTTTGTGGCACTTCTATATTTTGCCTTGTTTGCAACATGTGTGCAGCAAGTTGAATAGCAAAAGTGGGCAGCAGGCTGGCTTCATTTTCTACAAAGAGGGTGTGCCAGTGAAAATGAGAATGTGTGTTTTGGTTGCAAGGAGGAATGGGGCTACTCTATCAGTTGAGTGCATGCACAGGAAGGGTATTGTAATAACAACAATACTACATTTAGATCCTGTCTTAGAAAATTCAAGGCAGGGTACATGGCAAATCTCCCCTTATTTTATCCTAACAACAGCCCTACATGGTAGGTTATGCTAAGGAAGGGAACTGGCCCAAAGGCATCCAATTAGCTCCACAGTTAATGGACCTCAGTCCATGTCTCCCTGATTCCAGTTTGATGCCTTAACTACCGTTCTATACTGGCTCTTTTATACAGAAAAGTGGTCAAATTACCTTTCAGCCCAATTCAGTTGTTATGTCCATGGATTCTACACCCAGAAGAGGAAATGTTTAGGGCTATTTATTACATGCAGCTGATAATATTTTGGAAAACCTGCACATTCTGGGTGTTCAAGTGATGCAGGAAACAAAAATGCCAGTGCTTGGCGAATACTTCAGCATAGTATGTAGTATCTAGTATACGCACATGTGACATATACATGTTGTGTGCATGTTATAGTATTAAGAGTTGATTTTCATTTGAATGTTACTTCAGGTGCATGTTTTAAATGGAAACCCACATTTGTTAACATCCCTGAGATTCTAATACTGTCTACAGTAATTTGTTTTTTTTTAGCTCTCAGCTTTCTAATGCAAAATGACTGAGAGAATGAGAAAGCACCAGAGAAAAAGGGAAGAATTGCAACACATATTCGATCACATTGCGTAGCACAGGATTGGACAGCTTGTGACATCTAGTTAAATGCAGCTTCTGACCACGTGTTACATTTTGCTGCATGCTTAATATATACCTGATTTTTCTACTCTTGGATAGGCAGTATAAACAGGGCCATTGGCAAGTTGTTAACCACAGCTGATACTCTGTTTGGCTCGATGGGTTGTGAGTTTTGTGAGTCTGACTCTCAAGCATGTTCCCCAGATTCAGAATGATGTAAGTATCCAATAAAACTAACTTCTAAGTATATTATGCCTGAATCAGAACTCATTAAAATTGGATTGTAAGGATCTGAGAAGCCAGCTAAGAAGCCTGATAAAATGATGTATTCTTGAGAAAGGTCTAAGTAGTAGATTAAAAATCAATTTTGGGAAAAGTATTCCAGCTTCAAGGATAAAAGCTTCAGAGGTAGGTAGCCTTCAGGAGTTGTTTCAATGGAGTGGTAAAAAGGATTTTTAAAACCATGAATGCTACTACAGAACTTCCTTGTTTCATCCATTCTTGAGGAATTACATCCCCCTTTTTTGTCTTTAGATTTTTGCTTTCTTTTATTCCAATATGGTTTGCATTCACCCCTTTTGTCCCTTACTTTAAATGGAAGACATGGGAGCAGGGCAATGCCTGGAGCTGGTGGTTTCTGTCACCAATGGATTCACCACACATGCCACAGTAGAGTTCCATTTCTTCAACACATTCATGGAACTTCACCACATGATTACGAAGTTCCCTTTGCTGACCCTTCGTGCGATAGATCCCTTCACACAGGCAGTGAACCTTCAGTAGGCCAAGCTGTATAAAAGAGAAGATGGAGAAAAACAATCACATGAAAAGGATATTACAAGGGAGGCACTCTATGGATCCAACATACTCCTAGTTCCTGATTCCCCCAAACATTGCGTCTTTTAAGCTTTTGAAATGTGATGTTCTTTTCTCACCCCTTATGCTTCTTCCTCTTATTTTACTTAGCAGAAGCTCACCAACTGTCAGACAGATCCTCCTTTCCTTTGGCCATCTGCTGCCTCCTTTTCCCAACTGTGCTTCTTATAATTCCTATTTGGACTGCTATAGAACTCTGGGGAAAAATGGGTGATTTCATCCATTGATTACCATTTTATCCTATTCATTCAGCAAGCACTTCCTTTTCATATTTATTTAATTGTATACTCTGCAAAATATTCCCTTCTGAAGAGTTCCAGATGAATAATGCTAGCAACGTTGAATGCCTGCGGTTTGGATTTCCCAGTGTGAGACCTGATTTTGTGTGGACATCCCTGATGCTCTGAAATACCACAGGTTCAAAATGTTTCAGGATCTTTGGGCTAAGGTGTGGTATTTTCTCCCATCATCTTTCCAAAGCCATAATTAAACACCTTGCCATTCAGAAAAGTCAGAAAAGAGCTGCAGATATTCCAGATTAGAAGATGCCCCACCTCCCCAGAATCAAAACATCTGGTAGTACCTTTCCATTCTGCTAACCCTCATAGGAGAGCTATTTTTCTGATGACTGACAGAACCTCATCGGCAACATCTAAAGGGTTAACACAAATATAGGCCACCACTGTCCACCCCTTCCTCATGATTCTAGTAGGTTATTACTGATTCAGCATAATACTTGTGTAATTACATTTTGGAGGCCTGTTATCAGGCAGAATTATGACATACATACATATACCCATATTAAATAGAACAGATGGCTTATCATGAATATAGTGAAAAAAATTGCAGATGGGACAACTTACTTTGTTTCCTAGTCCCTCTGCCAGCTCATGAGCCCTCTCAATACTTTCTAATGCCTGTAGAAAGCAGAACATATATTTATTTGATTTAGAGGTTACTCAACTCCGTAAGCTTCTCGGCAGCTTACAAACATTAAAATACAATACAACAATAAAACAGTAAGAATGCAAGCCATGTGCATCCAGAAAAAAACAAATAAAATCCTAGAGGGACTCAATACCCATACTAACCCAAGACCTGGAGGAAAAGCCAGGGTTTCAAAGATATCTTGAACATCATCAGAGTAGGAGCCATGTAAATCTCTGGAATGGGAGAGATGCTATTCTAGAGAGCAAGTGCTACAACTAAAAAGGCATGCTTCCTGGGTCCTGACAGATGGCCCTGTTAAACCAAACAAATTTGGAGTGTATCCACATGGTCTAATTGTATGGGACAGGCAAAAACTGGCACAACTAGGTGGCCCGTCAAATAATCAGGCTTTATGCCATGAAGCGTTTATGGTGAGGGTGAGGTGCCAAGGCATGTAAGGTTCAAGGCATCTTGAAATATGTGATGGTTCAAAGGAACTTGTTGCTTGAATCTGTGATATGAGACTCAGTAGCTGAGGTACAGGGGGTGCCAAGATGGGGAGAACTGCACTAACCTAATCCCTGGAAGTCTAGAAAGTACTAGGAAATGTCTCCTCCCTTTATTTTATAATGTCTAAATACAGTGCATATTCAAAAATATTTATGTATATATTTGATAAAAAGATATATACATAAATACATATACATAAACAAGAACCAGTTTGCTGTAGTGATTAAAGGCACTGGACTAGGAGCAGGGAGACCATGAGTTCTGGTCCTCTCACAGGAATAGAAGCCAGATGTGTGATTTTGTGTCAGTCACTCTCAGCCCTAGACCAGGAACTTGAAAAACATCCGGGAAGAAGGTAATGACAAACCATTTCCACAGTGTTTCCAAGAAAACTGCATAGGCATGTCTATGAAGTTGCCAGGAGTCAAGATTTGGGGGTACCAAAAATATACGTAACTATTTATATTTACATTTATATAAATATATATTCTATCAGCGGTCTCTAGACAGCATACAGATCATAGTTAATAATCCTAATAAAAACCCTTCCTCATCCACATTAAAACAATCATAGCCCTAAAACTAGCTGGGCGGCTCACAGTTTCTCATTCTGGGCCTAAGGCCTACTGATAAAGAATGGTTTTCAGTGCAATGTCAGAAGAGAAGCAGCATGTGTATCTCTGGGGGCAGCATATCTTATGCGGAAGCAACTTTCAGTAGATCATTTCTAGATGTTTAGACCACAATGAGCAAACCATATTTATTAAGGCAGTCCTTGATGAACCCCAGCACTACTCTGTTTATTTATTTGTTTAGAGATAACTGTGTCACACACCTAGTGTGTTCATCTTGCAGATCAAAAGGTACATTGGATAAACAGTTTTAGCCTAAAATTCATGCTGAACATTCGTATCTGCGGTGTTGATTTTACTGTATGGACAGAAAGGCTGTGCCCAGAAAAAAACACTATTCATTTTGGAGCCCATCTTAATGGCTCACAAAAATGCAAATGAATCTAATCAGTTTCTTACTACAGCCTATTACGGACTTTGTCGAGTTCCTTTTGAATCAGCCAGCACTTGGCCACACCAAGCAGCGCTTGAACTTGTCCCAGACGGTTTCCAATCTCAGTCATGATGCTCATGGCGGAATCATAGCGGGGAAAGGCTGTCTGGGTTGTAAGAAAAGGTGTCAGTTGCTGTCCATTACTGCCCTTCTCATACTGTTTCATAGGGGAGGGTCATACCTGTACATCTCCACGGCTGCGGTGGATATCAGCAAAGCAGAGCAAGCACTGTGCTTGCAAAGGACGATCTCCATGCTGAAGGGCAATCTTCATTGACTCCTAGTAAGACAAGCTTGCAGAGTCACAATTTGAACTTCTATCACATCCTAAGGTCTAAATTCTGACTGCTCTGCAAAACAGGAATCTGAGTGAAGAAAAGAACATCTTGTCCTGTTTCCAACCCGCATTAAAGACAGCATCCCTTCTCCCAAATTGTTTCAAAAAATAAATAGTTGAAGGAAGAGATAAGTTATGCAGAACACAAACAGCTTTGGACCTTCCTCAAATAGTTGAAATACTTTACCACTGCTTCAGAGTTTTATTGGGTTTCTTTGCAGTTCAAAACCCACTTTCATCCACCGAAGAGAAGAACCTGTGTTCCTACAAAAATAGCATCTTTTGACAGTGGTAGGTACTGGTGTTTATAGAGGACAAAGTCGTCTTTCAATTTTTTTGCCCCACACTGGGACTTTATAATCAAGAATGAGTTGTATATAAAAAGAAATTGGCAGCTGATGCAGTTGCTGGAAGATGGCTGTAATATGGCCAACAAAACATAGACCAGAAACTAACTGGTTTGTTGCAACACTCTAAACAAAAAAGGTGACTAAAGCATGCCTCCCTGTGGCCAAATCTGCCTTCTTCAGAAAGTGATGCAACTGACATACCACTCCAAACTGGAGAGCCCATTAACTTTACCTAGTAGACCACCCCGCTCTCCAAGAAGCCATGCTTGTACCTCACAGCATTCCATAGCAACTGGCAAGTGCCCCAGCTTCCGATAGGCTACAGCCATGTAGAACTGGCTCATTGCTCGGTACTTTAAACTCCAGCCCTTTCCATAATCATTCACCAGCTCTACTGCCTTGCATGGGAAAAACAGAGCTTTTTCATAGTCCTTGAAAATAGAAGAAGAGGAAGAAGCAAGGGGTGGGGGTGGGGGTGAGAGGGGGAGATTAGATACAGAAAGACTGCAAAAATGGTCAAAGCTATGATTGTTTGAAGTTTACAGTTATGAAGTCTAAATAGTTTTCATTGATTTTGAGCACCATTTTTCTATGGTAAAAAGGTGGGATATAAATCCAGTAAGGAATAATGTTCATGACAACTTGTAACCTAGACTGATTGATTTAAAAATTATGATGGGAAAAGCCATGGTTTCAACCTGCTTTTATAAAAAGCATCAATAAAGAGTTTGGGAAAGGTGAACTCTTTGGAATATAGGATTGCTCCCGCCCCATTAATCATCTCTTTCCAGTTAAAAAATGAACCAATGATATTACTGTAAATACATGTGTATTCTCTAAATGTGTAACGAGGGTCCAGTATGACAAATTGGGTAACAGTAGTAAAGGTATGGTCTATATATCTGCAGTCTCTGTTAAGACAAGTCAAGTCATTCTCATGGTTCCTTTGAGTTCATAATGAGAAGATTGAAAAATGACTATTGGTGAGAGACTTTGGAAATTTGCTCTTTTCTTTGTGCAAAGCTTTCATTTGTACATTCTGGTAATTTGGAGTTTTAAGTGAATTCAGTTTAGTTTTCTTTAGATTGATTCTCTATTTTTAAACATGTTGACAATGTCATCTTAACTAAAAGAAAGATTCTAAGTTGATTATTTAATAGAAGCATTTATAAAATAGTTGCTTTTTACATGTATATTCAATTGCAATCATATGCATTTCGGTGAACCATTTCAGAATGCTGCCAAAGGAAAAAAATACTTATAACTCACCTTGATACTGAGGAAAATCCCCAGCCTTACTTTCCATCCCACCCCACAGAACATCATTGTTATTGTGGAGTCCTTGGCGCTCTCTGAGCTTGGTTGTTTGCTTGCAAGTGTTTCATTACCCAACTAGGTTACACCATCAGTGCTAGTGAGTGTGGGGTTTGCTCTCTGATGTTACTAGCACTGATGATGTTACCTGGTTGGGTAATGAAATTTCTGGAAGCAACCAACCAAGCTCAGAGAGCACCAAGGACTCCACAGTTCAACTCTGAGCTACATATACTCTCTTCTATAGGGATCATTTTTATTCTTTAAAAGACTAATTTGGATACTAATTTTGAAAAAAGATTCTGCTTTTTCCTAACTTGGGTCTAATATTCACACATGTAAGTGAAAAATGTTTTAAAAAATAAGCTTGTTCAAATTTACACCAAAATAAGCAATGCTAATGTTCAGGGTGATGAACTTTCCTAGAAATAGGGAAATGCTTTAAATTTCTTGTTTGAAAACATTCTCGAAATAAGGAATATTTGTTCTCCAAGAGTTTTACATACAGCAATATGTAATAGTTGTTAAGTTATACTTATTTGATAGCCTTGTCTTACAAATGGATCCATAGACATTAGCACAGAATACTTTGTATGTGATCACAGATAGCCATATCATATGATCCTATCTTTAGCTATATTATGAAAATGCTTGTTGTGAATAAACCCTTGAAATATCAGAAAAGCTTTTCTCCCTTCTTTGGTTTATTGTTAAACTGGTGATAAATATTACTGATACGTTCTGTGATTTCTCAGTGCTCTTCTCCTTTTCTTTCATGATATCCAAAAATAAATAAGACTTTAACAAAATAGAGTGATAGAACTAGATGGCCAAAGTGTAGAAAAAGACTATTTAAGCCTTCTCAGTAGCTAATCAAAATCTCAATTTTTTTACAAATAAATAATACCCATAACCAAAAATGTGGTATAGCTATCTAACTTTTCCTGGAAAATTTTCTCCAATATGTGAACTGATGCAATAGTTCCATTGGGGCTGGGGACTACTAATGGTAGTACCTAGATCTTGTGTGGGCACCAAAATAATGGCCAAAATTTCACAATATTACAAAGCCTCATGATATTTTGATATCCTTTCTCCAAACCTCTCAAGATTTTAGATTGTAATGCCAAAATGTTGTGAGACTAAGTGAACTTGCAAGATTTCAGGCATTACCTAATCAAAACATTAAGATCCCACATATACCATCTTAGAGGAGTCATGTATGGCATTGTTTCCCCAAGCACCATGTACTTGAGCTCTGATTTATGTGATGGTTTCACAAGCTTCAGATGACAAGGTGGTGGTCCACAGAAAGAAAACAATTAGAAACCACTGCACTCTAGGTTCAGTCTATCTTCTGTACAATCCTTCAGACAGTTGGACAAGTGTCTCCATTTCCTTTTCCTCCATTCACATTTTTTACACTTCTGAACTACATTCTCTTCCATTGTCATTTCAGCAATACTCACCTTGAGGTGAGTGTAGAAATTTCCTAGACTGCAACAGACACGACATTCAAGCATCTTGTCATCATTGTTGTGTGCGTATCGCAGAGCTTTCTCAAAACACTCCAAAGCTTTTTGGAAGACACTGAGGCCAAGGTAGGCATTGCCCATACTGAGGTTGACTTGGCCATTTAGTTGCAGGCCCAGTGTTGTACCTCGCATGTTCAGGCAGGTCTTACAATAGGAGATGGTTTTAGGGAATTCACAGAGCTTCTCGTTGCTCCGTGCCAAATTCAGGTAGCTCTCAGTAAGGTAATCAGGATCCTCCAGCTCTCGGGCAGTGTCAATCTGCATGATTGCAAACTTGCAGCAAAAGAACTGGAGTTAAATGAAGTTCTTTCATTTAAGAAGCAATAAGTCTGCTCGTAAACTTCAACCATAATGAATTCATATAATTTTTATTGAATAAATTTTTAACAAGATGAAAACAATACAGACATTAAAAAAGAAACAAAGAAAATAAGAAAGAATAGTGAATAAGTAAAAAAAAAATAGAAAAAGAAAGAAAAAGAAAGAAAAAAAGAAAAGTTTATAAAGAAGCTGCTTCTGATCTTTTTGACAGTGGTTATAAATGCATTTATATTTTACCCTCTCTAAGGCTACATCATAATTTCCTTCTTTCCATAAGTTACCCTTTCTAATCCCCAAACCCATAAATCACAAGTTTTTTTTTCTTTTTTCAGCAAAAAGTCCGTAAGAGGTTTCTATTCGCTAATAAATGTAGTTATTGATCTTTCTCTAATCAAACAAGTTAACTTTGCTATCTCTGCTAGTTCTGTCATCTTCACCAACCATTCCTCCATTGTGAATATAACCATAATGAATTCAGAAGAGAGACAACCACATGAATCACACCCAGATTGGAGTTGAGAATTTGGACTTATTCTGTGGGAGGCAAGGCTTAGACTTACGGGATCTACCTTGTTTTTTTACTAGAAAGTTAAGCTCCACCAATGGTGCCATGTGCAAAATAGTGGCTCAGGAAAGCAGTCAAATGCTAAGTATTAAGGAATATGGTGTTGTATTTGCATATGATTTTGACTGTCTACTTTTGGGGGGGGAATCCAATTTTTAATTAAAAATCCATAGAAAAAAGGAAAAGGAAATAGTTGTTTTCCTATTTACTTAAATGAAGGTTAGAGATGATAAAAGGAAAATTGTGTAAGAAAGCTAAATAATTATAAAGTAACAATATTACATTAAGTAACTCCTTGCTTTTATTTCTTATTGATTTATTTTTACATACAGAATTCTATCTTGTGCAAAGCCAGTCCTGGTGACTTTGTTTCATTAATTTGTTTCTCTTCTGCACATCATCAAGAAAGGGATTAAATGCATCTGGGCTACAGATCCCTGGTTCTCATACTAGACAAGTCTTCTTCCACAACATCTGGATATTTAGGAGTCTCTTTTCGTTTCAGCAACAAAATGCTTTTTTAAACCAGCCTTCAGTTAACTTCTGGCAGAAAACTGAAATACTGTCCTGAATAGATAAGGCTCAGAAAAGGCTCCCTTTCCCTTCCTCTTGACAATCCTAACCCTGATAAACAGTTTTTTGAAGCCAGAGGGGAATCATATGAAAAGAGGTACATTGTACAGTATTTCTGAAGTAATATTTAGCTCTTATTCTCACAGCACAGAAGAAAATGCAATTTCTTCTCTTTTCTGATATCCTTTATACAGTGGTACCTCTAGTTACAAACTTAATC